TTTTATTCTTTATTTTGTTAATGTGGTGTATTACATTGATTGATTTGCATATGTTGAATCATTCTTGTGCCCCTGGAATGAATACCACTTGATCACTATGTATTTTATATATATACATATATATAGTATTCTGTTTATTTAGGATTTTTGCATCTGTAGTCATCAGAGATATTGGCCTGTAGTTTTATTTTTTTGTCTTATCCTTGCCAGGTTTTGGTATCAGGGTTACATTGGCCTCATAAAATGTGTTAGAAAGTGTTTCCTCTTCTTCAATTTTTTGGAAGAGTTTGAGAAGGATAGGTTTGAAATCTTTAAACATTTGGTAGAAGACACTGGTGAAGCCATCTGGTCCTGGACTTTTGTTTTTTGGGAGTTTTTTGATGGTTGTTCAATTTCCTCACTGCTGATTGGTTGGTTTGTTTATTTGTTTATTTATTTATTCATTTATTATTTTTAAATCCCCACCTGAGGATATTTTTTCCATTGCTTTTCAGAGAGAGTGGAAGGCAGAGAGAGAGAGATGGACCAAAACACTGATGTGAGAAAGATGCATCAATTGGTTGCCTCCGCACATGCCCCAGCCGGCGCCAGGGATTGAGTCTGCAACCAAGGTACGTGCCCATGGCCAGAATGGAACCTGGGACCCTTCAGTCTGCAGGCGGACACTCTAACCACTGAGCCAAACCAGCTAGGGCCTGATCAGTCTATTTAGATTTTCAAATTTTCCATGATGTAGCCTAGGAAAGTTATATATTTCCAGGAATTTATCCAGTTCTTCTCGGTGGTTGAATTTGGTGGCATATAGTCTTTCATAATATTCTAGTATGATCCTTTGTATATCCGTTATGTCTGTGGTGACTTCTCCTCTCTCATTCCTGATTTTGTTTATATGGGTCTTTTCCCTTTTTTCCTTAGTGAGTCTAGGCAGGGGTTTGTCCATTTTATTAATCTATTGAAAGAACCAGCTCTTTGTTTTATTAATTTTTTATATAGTCTTTTTGTTCTATATTTTATTCAATTCTGCTCTAATTTTAATGATTTTCTTTCTTCTGCTGACTTTGGGTTGCATTCCTTTTTTTAAGATGTGATGTTAGGTTGTTTACTTGGGATTCCTCTTATTTCTTGAGTTAGGCCTGTAATGATATAAACTTCCCTCTTATTACTGCTTTTGATGCATCCCAGTTTTGATATTTTGCATGCCCCATACCCGGAATCAAGCCCACAACCCGGGCATGTGACCTCTTGATTCATAGGTTGACACTCAGCCACTGAGCCACAGCGGCCATGCTCTGCGTCTATATCAATGGCCTCTCTGCAGGAGCTTTCTCTGAAGTGGTCATTTTACTATTTTCCAGTAGATGGTGCTGAATCACAAGATTTTTTTACCTCTGTGATCTCCCAGACTTGACCTCAGTAGGTTCTATAAGACAGTACAGCCACACTTCTTGGGATGGGGTTTGTTTTGCTCTCACCCTAATGGTGACCCTGACCTCCATGGGGCCCAGCCCCAAGCACCCCACCTGGAGATCAGTCACAGAGGGAAACAGTAGTTCTATTGCAATAGCTCTTGGTTTATAGATAAAATGTTCCTCGACCTGACACTAAGAGTAACAGGAGGCAGGTTTTGGGAGTCCAAGGGATGGCAGGATTCTGTGGTTGTTTCTTTATCAGAAGAACCCGCACCAGACAGCGGACAGCCTCAGGGCAGGACCCCAGGCTCTATCATGTGCCTGCTGACTCAGCCAGTGTTCTCTCTGTTCGCCCTGCTGGACTCCCCTCCCCCCAGCTCTCTATTCTTCAGTCTGAAGGAAGTGCCTGCTACCAACAGCTTCCTCCCCTCTCCCAGCAGCACCGCTAGCCCTCAGCTGCAGAGCTGCGCCTACAGGCCCTCTGGGCTTCCCTCCCTCCCCTTCTCCCAGCTTATTCCCAGTTGCCCACCTTTAGATACTTCAATGCACGGGTCTCTCAGGCGTGCCTCTGTATCCAGTAGGGAATTCTTTGTTGAATTATAGTTGTTTAGCCTGTTGACATTTCAGGGAGAGAAACCAAGGGGATCTCTCACCTCCATTTCTCTGTTGTCACTTAATTTTCACTAGATATTAAAATTTCTGAGGGCAATAATTCTAACTAATATACAAGAAATTAATATATGTTTTTAGTAAAAGAAGGTATAAGATCTGAAAATGCACATTTTAGGGAATTACAAGGAAAATTGTAGAAGGCTCATGAAAAAGAATATTGAGAAAGAAGATTTTATGTACTGTAAAGCTAAATAATGGTGTAAATTTAATTAAGTGAATTTAATATCAAAAATAATCTGATGCAAAATTAGAGTTCAATTCTCTCTCTGTCTCTGTCTCTCTCTCTCTCTCTCTCTCTCTATATATATATATCTCCTCACTCAAGGATATTTTGTCCATTGGTTTTCAGAGAAAGTGGAAGGGGGAGGGGGGAGAGGTAGGGGGTGAGATGGAAACATCAATGTGTGAGAGAGACACTTCAGTTGGTTGCCTCCCACACCCACCCTGACAGGGGCTAGGGATCAAGCCTGCAACCCTTCAGTCCTCGGGCTGATGCTCTAACCACTGAGCAAACCCAGCTATGGCCCTCTCTGTTTAAAGGACAAAGTTTTCTTGGACTATTTATCTGATCCTAATAAGATATTATGAAAAATGGTCTTAAAATTGTTGCCTGCAATGTTGGCTGCAAAGTGGCACCAGTTGTTACCATCAAAGTTAGACCTCAGTTCTTGAGTTTGGCAAAGAAAGAATTCAGGGCTAGGAAGTCATATTTGAAGAGAAAGTTTATTTAGAAAGTTACAAAGGTTGTGGAAGTGAGCCAGCTGGACTGTGTTGGCTCAGGAAACAAGTTACAGAGGTAGAAGAAGGGTCCTTGATGCTTAGGAGAGAGAAAGACAAAGATAGCGAGCCTGCAGGAAAGAAGAGAGGGAGGCATGCTCCAGAAACGGAGAGTAAATCCTGAGTCCTTCGTTTTGAGGGTCTAAATGTGGGAGTTTAGAGAGATCTTGGGCAAAGATCCCAATAGAACATTCATCAGCTTTGTGCTGATGTGTCAAAATTAGATTATTTCCCCAACTACATCCGTGCTTGGGTGGAGTTGGCACAAATGGCACTAATTGGAATTCTGCTATCTCCCTTCCTGAGCAGGGTGATTCAAGCCATTTGCTCTCTGGATGGAGAGGAGAACTGGAAACCATTTACTCTTAAGTGTCCTTGGTTAGGGAAGATAGGATTTCCCATTTTGCTAAACTTGGCTGCTTTAACTATCTGTCTGTTTCCCTATTCCACATGTCCTGGCTTACTTGCCTGTCTCAGAATGATTTTATGTTCTCTGTATCATCAGGCCTTTGATTGCTTAAGTAAACTGAATCTTCTTAATATTAAAAGAGCTAAATTTTGCTTACAACTATTTAACTTTTTGCATTGGCGTACAAATTCTTTGTCATTGTGAAGAAGGGGGAAGTTGTCTCTTTCCCTCCTCTGGTTCTTTTGGCTGACTGAATAATCAAATCAACAGAAGAGACTGACAAAAAAAATCAGTTTAATATTATGTGCACAGGAACAGCACAGCACATACATGGGAAGTTCAGAGATAGAAAGGAGATTGAGGTATAGAAGACACCCTGAGCTAGGGGTGAGGGAATGCACCTGAGGGCTTCAGAGAGACATAGCAGGATGATAAGAGCAGATGTTTAGTGAATAAACACTGTCGGAGAGGCTATCACTGATAATCTTTTATTATGAGTAAGTCCTTCCATTTAAATTCTTCTAGGAAGTTAAGGGGGGGGGGGATCATCAGTTTCTCCTGAGCCCACGGAGTCATATCCTGGGGTGGCTCATTCTGGACCCCACACCATCATGATTAAATGAGTAACTAAACATTGTTTCACAGTGACCTATGATCCTATTTGACCAAGTGTTTTTAAAATTTTTTTATATGTTTGACAAACTTCCCCAAATCCAAAATTAAAAAGTTTTTAAAACTAAAATTTAAGACTGAAACATTTTAAAGGACATTTCTCTTTGCATAAAAGGGGGGAATTAAGCTAATTAGACCTATTTGATATACTAAAATTATAAAAGAAGCATTGTCAAGTGAGTAATAGTTTTCTTGTATTTATATGCACATATTGTTATTAAAATAAATATTCTAAAAATTATATAAAATCTCTAAAGATCTAAAATGTCTTGGTATAATGTTTTTATTTGCAATTCTAGTTATTTTCTTAAAATGTCATATGAAAATTTTTTGTCAATTACATTATCTTTAACTATGGGCATTTTAAAATCTTTATAATTTACAGAATTATTGTCTTACACTGATGCTTTTGCAAATATGTTTTATCTTTAAAAAGATTTATAGAGAGGACTCTGACACCTTAAAATGTGGTTTTCTGATAAACTTTAAGGTCATAACATTGAAATGGGCAAAAATTTGCAGAAGTTATAGCTTCATAAGACTGCTAACAAAAGATCAAAATGTTTTAAATTAATTATGTGGGACTAAATGAACAGATGAGGATAATTGTAATTTTTATGACTTTTTATTTTAGACATAGCTAATTTTTAATATTTTGTTTTCCAAATATAAGGAAACTTGTTCCTCTTAAAGTACCTATGACTTAGAACAATTTTGTAAATTACAGTATACCTTTGTAAGCAAAATTGAAACATACATCTTTTTCTCCCTACCTGGTCCCTTCAGAATTTGCAAACTCTCAGTAAGTATTTTTATTTTTACGCCAATAAAGTTATTTGCATGAGTTGAATAAGAATCTGTTCTCCTTATAACAGGACATAATTGGAAATATTGGTTATATTACCAAGATTCTGACTGAACTGTCATGTTTGAGAGCGACATGCAGAGACTCAGAGATGAGCAGACAATTCAGAAGAATCAATACCGACTTACGGAAGCCTCTTGGGAAAATCGGACTGGTGCCTGCTTACAGATGTGGCCCTCAGGCTCTCCAGCATGCCGATCGAGCATGACTGATATGACCAGCCTTGAGACTTCCCCTCCAAGGACAGGATGGACTGGGAGCAGGCTTTGGGCTACTCTGGCATCGCAATGGGATGATAAAACTAAAGGTTAGTCTTTGAAGCTTCCTATACTGAAAGACCTTAATAAAAGGGGGAGATAGTAACAGAAAATCAAACGCCTTAAGCATTATTAAGAGAATCACTAAAAACTGAGTCACAGGACATTGAGGAGGCAGGGCCTGTGTACATCTCATGCCTCCTTTCTCAGAACTGTGGGCAAGCTGCTAAACCGTTGGGGAACCGAGCTCAAGGCCAAGCAGCAAATATCCTGGGTAGATGCCTGCTACGTATCGAAATGCACACGGGCCGGCTCTCTGCTAGCACTAGCCCTAGGAACCAGGCACGTGGAAATGTGTGTAACTTCAGCTGTGCCCGCGCCAGTCACGAATCTTGAAAAGCAGCCCTTGTGACCTCGTAGGATTATCTTTGTCCTTGGCCTTGGTAAACCCCAACTTCTTTCTTTCCTTAGAACATGTTTGAGATTGCTGCCTAAGCCTGCACCTCCTGGACCGCATTTCTGACTTCAAATAAGTGCTTTTATTTTTTATTACTGCCTAGACTTTTTTTTTTGGAAGGGGGAGATTAACACCCCACAGAAAAAAAAAGAGGCAGTTCCCATGATTAAAACCCTTGCCATGTCCTTCCCCCCAAAGAAGGTGTTCCAGTCTTTTCTTTTGTTAGGAGCTCCCTCACCTCTCCCTTCTTCCTGTAAAACCCCTCCATTCCCCCTGAGTGCCCTTCTTGTTGCTGGAGAGGATGCTGCTCCACTGATAGATCACTTAATAAAGCCAATTAGGTCTTCAAATTTACTTGGCTGAATTTTTATTTTTAACAGATGTGACTTCTAGCATATTATTATGCATTATTTCCAAATAGAAGATTAATTTCTTCTGATTGAGGATTAGGGTGAAGCCTCTAAATTGCACAGGATTTTGGAAAATGACAAGTTCTTTTGCACTTGCATCAAGTTCTGACAGTTAATATATTATGGCAAATTTGTGGGAGAATGGTATCGTGCTTCTTCCTTTAACTTTTGACAGCGTGGCAAATGTGAATACAGCTAGACAAATGCCCAGCTCCCAGTCATTCCCTTAAAGAGGTCAGTTTTCCTATTTTAAAAGCTGGTGCCTGCCCGGCCGGGCGTGGCTCAGCGGTTGAGCGTCGACCTAGGATCCAGGCGATCGGGGTTCGATTCCTGGTGAGGGCACATGCCCGGGTTGCGGGCTGCAGCTGATCAATGACTCTCTCATCATTGATGTTTCTATCTCTCTCTCTCCCTCTCCTTTCCTCTCTCTGAAATCAATAAAGATATATTTAAAAAAAAAAAAAAAAGCTGGTGCCTGAGGCTCAGCCCTTCATTTACATTACTGATGCAACCATAGACAATACTTGAATGAGTGAGTATGGCTGAATATCAATAAAATTTTATTTATAGACACTGAAATTTTAATTTCATATGATTTCCTTGTGGCACACAATATTAATTTGCTTTTGATTTTTTTCAACCATTTAAATGAATAAGCTCGTCTTAATTTGCAAGTCACACAGAAGCGATGGGCCTGATGAGGCCCACGAGCCGTAGCCTGACAGTGTTCATCTCTAACGTTGCCTTTCTAGACAGACTGGTGCAGTCTATGCTCTAAGCCGTGGGGTAGGCAGGAATTATGACTTTGTCTTACAAAGAAGGACATGGAGATGCCAAAGAGCAAAATATTGGTACTGGTGTTGTATCTGATAGGCTGTACTCAACTAGAACTCAGGTGCCTTTCTAAATGCCGTTTTCTGCTTCTGCGATAACACCAGGAAGAGCCTCCTTCTGTATTAAAGAGAGAGCTTAGAGTACAGATGCCCAAAGGACTTCCTCCTGTCCTGTTCCCCTTACTCAGATCCAGACTTCAGTTGAATAAGCCTTTGGGGAGAATGGTAAATATATTCTGTTACAAGTGGAAGACTCAGGGTTGTGAGGATGGTGTCTGCCCTCTTCAGCAGAGTAACCAAGAGAAAAACTGTCTGTGTATGAATGAGCCATATGGAAGCCCAGGCCCCACGCAAAGCCCCACTCCTTGGAACGGGGCTTAGCAGGCAAACAGGTACCTACTTTTCAGCTCAACTAATTTAAGTGGCACATTTTTGCAGTACTCAAACTGCATAACAAAGTACCCCTGAGTTCCCAGGCTTTGTTTCTTTCTATTTTTAATATTATTTATTTTTCTTGATTTCAGGGAGAGAAAGGGAGAGAGAGAGAGAGAGAGAGAAACATCAATGATGAGAGTCATTGATTGGCTGCCTCCTGCATGCCTCTGCCTTCTAAGAAGATAATGATAATCCCCAGGTTCAGAGAAAAGCATTTTCAATCGAATTGATAGGTGTGCCCATGGATCACAAAGCTGTAAGGAGGCGTTGGCTAGAAATGAATGGCAAATATTTATTCAAGGGCTTTAGGGGTTTGTAAACCAAAAACACGACTAGACAATACCAAGTGTTATGAAGAAAAAAGAAAAGCTAACAGTTCTCATAGTAAAAACTCCATTTGGGGGTTGGGAGGTGGGGATGACCCCTGCATTCCTAGCCCCAGACTGGCTCAGGATGGGAAGCTTCCGGATCCAGTGGTCGGGATACTGGATGCCAGGTGGTTTCAATAATGAACATTCTTTCTTAAACATGGCAGGTGGCCGTCTATGAGAGATATATATATATACACCTCCGGCACATGAACATTCTTTCTTAAGTTTTTCAGACATTTATCTATAAAATTCAGGTACATTCAGGCACTGGCACACAATGGAAATTTCACAAGTTTAAGTTCCCAGGCTCCTTAAAGCAAGACTAGAATCATTTCCTTGTGCCACAACCTACTTGATTTTAATAATTTAGCAGCTTGACCATAGTGACTCCATTTTATTTCTTCACCCTTTTCCTCAGATGATATAAAGATATATGGTAATTTTTTACATAAATTATTAATTTTCAATTAACAAATATTTTAGTATACTAGGAATAGAGTCAGAGTCTAGGGTGACCCTATAACTTTTCACCCAACTGGGTCATTTGTGAGAATAAAAGAAGTGTTGCCATTAATGACAACATGGGAACTGTATCAGGCAAAATAATACCTGGTAACTCTCAAATGTGATAATAGAATGAAAGTTAAAGAGAGAAATGAGAAAAAGTTATTACATATAGAAAATGAGGAAAAAAAAACATTTAAAATAATAAGTTTCCAAAATAAAGAATAACACAGGCTGTGAAAATATACTCCAATTGCTGTGAGCCTTCTCTGTGTGGGCATGGTGCCCACAGGCATGGCATACATTCCCTCCTTCCCCTCTCCCCACCCCATGGCTCATAACATCAAGATGAAACGGGTATAGCCCTGGCCGAGTAGTTCAGTGGTTAGAGTGCCAGCCTATGGACCTAAGGGCTGTGGGTTTCATTCTCGGTCAAGGGCCTGTACCTGGGTTGCAGATTCCATCCCGGCCAGGGTCAGGGCAAGTGCGGGAGGCAACCAATCCATGCGTCTCTCTCACATCGACGTTCCCCTCTCTCCCCTTCCTCCCTCCCTTCCACTCTTTCTAAAAATCAATGGGAAAGTCCTCAGCTGAGGATTAACAGAACAAAGAAGAATTTACACTATCTCTAGAGCATGGTGCGTCAGAATCCACAGGGATAATTATATGCTCATATTAAATTTTAAGTCATCTAACTTTTTTCTTTTTCTTGGAAGGAAACCCCCCTACTCTAATTACAAGCTCTTAGATCTTGAGGACAAATGAGAACCACAAACTATAGAGATGGTTTTATCTTACAAACGCTGGGGAAAGCTCCTTGGGACTCAGTCGGAGGCCCACACCTGATGTGAAGCCTGGAGGAGCGGCGCCCACGAGGCTGCTGCCAGCTGCAGGCCAGGCCTGCTCTCCTGCCCCCTCTGCTTTGCATATTTTCCCCAGACTCTGTTTCTGCTCTTCAGAATCCTCATAAAAAGGGCTGCTCAGTGATTCTGTGCATGAAGGAAGAGTCTCAGGCACAGCCCGGATTGAACATGGGTGTACCGAGTCAACTCTTCTGTCTGCTGTTCCTGCTCCCAGGTGAGGAGGGGATGCAGGGAGCACCCTGTGATGATGAAAGGTCCCTCTTCCTGAGGTCTGCCCAGCGTCTCTGGATCTCTGGCCCACGATCCCCCCTCAGAGACCCACGTGCTCTCAGGCCAGGGAACCAGGGCAGATCCTCTCCTGGGAGGAAGATGGAGCAGGATTGGTTACCGCTGTGACTCTGTTCTGCTTCCCTTTCAGCTGCCAGCAGGAGCACTGTGTTGAGCCAGTCCCCGGCCTTCCTGTCCGTGTCTCTAAGAGAGAGTGTCTCCATGGTTTGCAGAGCTGATCAGAGCATTAGTGACTACCTGACCTGGTACCAGCAGAAACCAGGCCAGGCTCCTAAGCCTCTCATCTACGACGCTGATAACCGATATACCGGTGTCCCAGAAAAGTTCATTGGGATTCAGTATGGGACAGAATTCATTCTCAAAATCAGCGAGGTAGAGGCCGATGATGTCGCCACTTACTACTGTCAGCAGGATTATACAGTTCCTCTCACAGTGTTACAGCCCTCAACACAAACCCGCCTCCCAGGCTGGCCCTGTGGTGATGGCAGGTGGTCCAGCAGCCGCAGTCTCCCTGCAGTCTGTTCATCTGGGAGGGCCTGTTGTGGGCGAAGGGTCCACAGGGCTCATGGGGAAGGGCCTGCAGGAGACTTTAGCACTTCAGTGGCTTCCTTTCTTGATGACACAGAATCCCCAAATCTTGTGGTTCAAGATTGCAAAGCAATTGGTTCAAGCATGGTCTGTGCATCTCTGAGAAGCACTCTGAAAAGTGTTTATAGCAACAGAGAACTAGGGAAAGAAGAAGCTCATACTCAAGGAGCTCTGCCACCACTGTTCCCACCACCAATACTACTAGTACAGATAACAGTCAGCAGCAGCAGTCATTGCCCTGCCAGTTCACATTTACTGAGTCGTGAAGACTCACCATGTGTTGAATATTCTAAGGGCTTATTTATTTATTGTAATTAATCTCACGATAATCCTCTACATATGGGAAATTAGGTAATCAGAGCTTAGGTCACTCAAAGTACCAGTAGTTGTAAAGAAGGAAAATGGAAAAAGTACCTGTTATTCTGACTCCATAATTCCTACTCATTAATTAACTCATTTATTTAAAAAATGTAGATACTACTGAGCACAGTAAAGTGCACCTAGTGTATATAAAATTAATTTCAAGTGTTCACCGGATGAGCATTCACATGCGCATGCCCTCCCACTAACCACCCCAGGCTTAACGTGCCTGGCACATCCTTGCCAGTCTTACAGCACTTACTCAGTCGGCTTTATGAGGTGCTCACCTGCCATGTCATCTGAGAATATGAGAAGGACTTTCTGACTGACAAACACAGGGCCATGCTCTGTCCTCAGCAAGTGCACTCCTTTGTGGACCAAGCTTCTTTTCATATCTCCTCCCCGAAGATGGGGCTTACTTTTCAAGGGTCCTTTAAATGAGTCCTGCTCGTTAACAAACATCCCTTTGGTGAGAGACAAAAGGTTGTTATTGCCGGCTCCACTGCGCTAGGTGTTCGCTCTCATGATCCCCAGGAAGAAATGGGCAGGAAACAAGAAACGGTTGTAAAGGTGTGAGAATATGATCCACTCTCATGAGGATAGACTCTCATGAACTTTGAAAGAAGCTCAAATATTGTTCAAGCCCAAATTTTCTTCTTTAGTTCCAAATGGAAATGAATAATTAGAAATAAAGTATTTGAATTTGTTGTATAAACTTGTATTGCTCCTCTTCTGTTTCCTTGTAGCTTTTGGGGTGCACATTGTCCTGACCCAGAGTCCATTCTCCTGGTCTGTGTCCCCAGGAGACAAAGTCACAATCTCCTGTAGGACAAGTGAGAGTCTGACTAACAAAAATGGCATCCTGGAACACCTGCTAAGCCGTTCATATGTAAAGTGTCCAATTGGCAGCCAGGTCCCAGTCTGCTTCTTAGGCAGCAGGTCTGAGAATGTGCCCTGATCCTAAGCACCCTGGAGACAGATGATGCTACAGTTACTACTGTCATCAGGAAAATAAATCCCTCCACAGTGTTACAACCCCAAGAAAACCCTCCCCAAGTGAGGGACCTGGGCTGCCCTAATTGCTCTCCCTGAACTCATCAGCTGCTGTGTGTATGTGGTGTTGGAAGGGGGCTTGCAAGAGGCATGTGTTAAGCTACATAAGCAAAGGGTTAAAAAGAGCAGAGAAGGGGAAAGGGGCTCAAGCTCTAGGTCATGAATCTCTTACCATATCTGGGTCCAGTAGTGCAGTGTAATGTTACGGATGAATTCAATTGCAAAGTTGGGGAAAAGGTGCTGCTCAGGAGGCCTGTAGAACCCTGGACAGAAGTATACATCACTATTACCAGAACTTTACATTAAACAGAACTCAGTTTTTCAGCCCTATGTATCTGCAGGAGAGGCAATATTGAGAAAGAACAAAGTTAGATGTATATCAAACTATACTACAAGGCCATAGTAATCAAAACAGCATGGTACTGGCACAAAAAAGACACAGAGATCAATGGAACAGAATAGAGAGCCCGGATATAAACCCACACTGATATGGTAAATTAATCTATGACAAAGGAGGCCAAGAACATACAATGGGGTAAAGACAGTCTCTTTAAACAATGATGTTGGGAAACCTGGACAGACACATGTAAAAAAATGAAGTTGGGTCACTTTCTTACACCATATCCAAGAATAAACTCAAAATGGACTGAGGACTTAAATGTAAGACCCAAAACCATAAAACTGGCAGAATCAAACATAGGTAGTAAACTCTTTGGCATCACTCTTAGTGATATTTTCTTGGGGTATGCCTCGTCAGGCAAGGAAAACAAATGGAAAATAAACAAATGAGACTACATCAAACTAAAAAGTTTTGCGCAGCAAAAGAAACCATCAACATAATGAAAAGGCAACCTGCTGAATGGGAGAAGGTATTTTCCAACAATAAATCCAATAAGGGGTCAGTATTCACAAAATATAAGGAACTCATACAACTTATTGTCAAAAAACAAATCCACAAACTATCCAATTTTTTTAAAAAAATAGGCTGAGGACTTGAAAGGACATACAGATGGCCAACAGACATGAGAAGATGCTCAACTTCACTAATCACCAGGAAAATGCAAATTAAAACCACAAGGAGATATTACTTCACACCTGTCAGAATGACTGTCATCAATGAATTAATGAACAAGTGTTGGTGAGGATGTGGGGAAAAGGGAAACCTCCCACCCTGTTGGTGGGATTGTAAGCCACTATGGAAAAGAATGTGGAGTTTCCCCAAAAATAAAATTATCATATGACCTAGCAATCCCACTTCTAGGTATTTATCCAAAGAAATTCAAAACACTAATTCAAAAAGATATGTGCACTCTTATGTCCATTGCAGCATTATTTACAACAGTCAAGATATGGAAGCCACCCAAGTGCCCATCAATAGACAAATGGATAAAGAAGTTCTGCATTCATACAATGAAATACTACTCAGCAATGAACAAGAATGAAATCGTGCCTTCTGTGAGAACATGGATGGACCTGTAATGTATTATACTAGGTGAAAAAAGTCCAACAGAAAGACAAAGACCATGTGATTTCACTTTCTTATGGAATCTAAAAAACAAAACAGAAACACTCATAAACACAGAGAACAAACTGATGGTCACCAGATGGAAGGGGGTTAGGGGACAGGTGAAAAAGGTAAAAGGGATTAAGTACAAATTGCCAGCTATAAAAATCGTCAAGGGGATGTAAAGTAAAGCATAGGAAATACAGTCAACAATATTGTAAAAGTATGTATGGTATCATATATGTGCTAGACTTAGTGGTGTGATCACTGCATAAGGTATATAAATGTCTGACCACTATATTATACACCTGATACTAATGTAATATTGTATGTCAACTGTAATTGAAAATTAAATTTAAAAAATTTTTTAAATATAAATCAAACAATTTCTCCAGCGAATCAAATGACCTTGAAAGGACACATATTATTGAAGAAAAAGTTATTCATGACACTTGTTAAAAATAGCAAGGCAGACTTAATCTAGGACCTTCACCAAAGGTGGAGGGACCACTGCCATGGGGTTACGCAGTAGGGGAAAGAGGTTGGGCCCAACTTCAAATACAGGAGAAAATGGAGATTTATAACCAAGGAGCAGGGTGGAGGTCAATGAATGGATAAATAAGAAGTAACATCAGGGGTTGGAGGAGATTCTGGTAACCTGACTTAACAGGATTCTTGCTGAAGGCAGGCAGGGTGATAAGGCATCCCCTGAGGATGGTGGAATATAGCAGACCCAGTTAGGTAACCAGGGTGACTTAGGCTGGGGAATTCTGGTTAAACTAACTTAGCAAGATTCTTGCTAAAATTGGACGATGCAGAGATGAACACAGACGCCCAAAAGTCAGGGCCTAGTAAAGGAGAGAGTTCAGAGGCACCTGAATAGCACTTGATCAAGGAGAGAATTTTTGTTAATAGTCACCTTATTTTCAATGTTTTAATAATTTAATATTCCTTATAGTTTTTGACTATTTGAACTTGGTCCTTCCATCTTATTTCGTAATTCTATTCATCATGCTTTCCTAATTTTTTATTTCTTTTTCCTGAATTCCTAGGTTGGTTTCATTTTATTTGTCTTTTTTTCCTTCTAGTGGCTTAGAGATTTCATCCGATTGCTACTGAATTGAGTGCCTGTGAACCTGATCCCTTTTTGCTTTCATCACTACTCACATGGGCTGCAGGGTGAGTCCAGGCTCAGGGGAGGGGCCCACGTGGTTCTGGGCTTTGCACTGCCCGCCTTGCCCACTCCCAGGTCTGGTCCCTGATCACTCGGAGTCCAGACTCTCCATCAACTCAAATCTTTGTAGTTTTCCTTGAAAATAAAATAAAAATAAATTTTTGCTAATCAGATTCTTCAAGTTTTCCATCAATGAACAATTTCTCATTTTTATATTTCCTGTGTCATTGCGAAGAGAATTTTGAGAGAGTGGTAGACAGTCTTATCACAGTCAACTTCAAAGTCCAAATTATTCCTGCTCCCATCTGTTGGTTTCCTGTTTTGATTTGTTTGCTTGTTTTCCTGTGGGCAGATCATCTTCCTCATCTCCCCTCTTAGGTGGGGAACTCCGGGCCTCACCCAGGGTTATCAGGACTGTGGGGCAGGCGAGGGGGGGGTGGTCTGTGCTTCTTCCTTCCCCTTAATGTGTGTGCAGATGGGAGTGGAGGGAACACCGGGGACCAGCCTGCTTTAACCCCATTTAGAATACAAATCAGCCAATTAAAGAAGGATCCAGGTTAAGATCATGGGAAAACACATCCATTCAACCACAATACTCCCTTGTTTAAAAACAAACATGTATTTATTTATTTATTTATTTNGGAGTGGAGGGAACACCGGGGACCAGCCTACTTTAACCCCATTTAGAATACAAATCAGCCAATTAAAGAAGGATCCAGGTTAAGATCATGGGAAAACACATCCATTCAACCACAATACTCCCTTGTTTAAAAACAAACATGTATTTATTTATTTATTTATTTTAATTCTCACCTGAGGATATTTTTTCCATTGCTTTTCAGAGAGTGAAAGGGAGAGAGAACTAGAGAGAGAAACATCGATGTGAGCAAGACATAGCAATCGGTTGCCTCCCACACATGCCCAGACTGGGGCCATGNCTAGAGAGAGGAACATCGATGTGAGCAAGACATAGCAATCGGTTGCCTCCCACACATGCCCAGACTGGGGCCATGCATTTGGCTGGAATCGAACCTGGGACTCTCCAGTCCACAGGCTGACGCTCTAACTACTGAGCCAAACCGGCCAGGGCCAAAAAATTTCTANCAGACTGGGGCCATGCTCTTGGCTGGAATCGAACCTGGGACTCTCCAGTCCACAGGCTGACGCTCTAACTACTGAGCCAAACCGGCCAGGGCCAAAAAATTTCTAAATACAAACAATAAAGTGACCCAGGAAGCTAAAGAGAAAAGCTAGTGGGAATAGAAAGCAGAAAGAGATGGGAATCCTCCGAGATGGGGTGGAGGCATGCACAGCTAAGGCGTGAGTCAGTCATCGGCAGTTGGCAGGACCCATATAGAGCTCAGGCCTTTACCCAGGAGAGTAAGGGGAGAGGGAGGGGTGGTGAGCAAAGTGCTCAGCACTGAGCCCTGAGCCAGCAGGGAGCAGAGTAGTGTCCATGTGGGACCTGCAGACTGTGGCACTAGAAAGGGCAAAGGCGCAGAGAAGCAAGCCTGAATTTGTGGGTGTCACAAGTGCAGTCCGAGTTCGCCCAGTCACAGTAGTTGTCCATGGGTAGGGTGACGGAGGACACAGGGCTAGATGCCAAGTAGACGAGGTGGGCAGGGCTAGATGCCAAGTAGACTAGGGTAAGCTCGAGGGGCTTGTCACTGTGTAAAACCAGCCACAAACCACAACCCTCAATATGTAAATCTCCGGGCTGAGTCTCCCCAGGGTAATAAGCCTCCCGCAGTCCTGCAGTCAGTCTCCCCTCCACTCCCAGGAGTCAAAAATACCTGCAGTCTTCATACCCTCTGGAAACATTTTCCCGAATGGGCCAGCATCAAGGGGCCATGTGTATGGAACACATATTTGCAAAGTTGCAAAGGACTTTGTCTTTCCTCAGAGATGACACAGCTCCAAGCCGAGAAGGAAGCAGTCATTTCTCAAGTAACCTCCACTCTCTCCCTCCTGGCTAAAGGGGCCAGGGGACCACGACAGATGTCAATTCCTGGCACTCCAGCTGGAAGACCAGCAATTGATCAGGCTCCAAGTACCACTGAATGTGGGCTTAAGAATTGCCTCCTCACCCTGTGGGATATCACCTGATGTCAAGCACAGGTAACAGAGCATCCTGACCCTAAGGAGTCAAGGTGAAGTAAAGAGAATGGCCTGCCTTGGGCGCTGCCATGGCTGATAAGCTGGAAAGAAAGCTGAGCCACAGACTTCAAAATGGACTAGCAGATACAAATATTCCAGAGCCAGGTAAGACAATGGTGATGCACTGAGGAAAGGCAGAGTGTCAATAAAATAGCCTGAGAGGTTCTTGGATTTAATGTACAAGAGTGATGGGAATAGAAAGTTGGGGGGAGCAATCCAACAAACTCCTCAGTGAAGCTGCTTGCCATCTGGCCCCCAGCAGAGTTAGATTCTGAACTGCTTATGGAGTGGAGGGGTGGGGGAGAGCAAGAGAGAAATCTTGTACATACATTCGAGCACACTCACCTACTCACTTCTAACCTCGGCACGGTCTAAGGAGTTTTCTATTCCTTCCCCTGCCCCAGTGTTTTCTGCGGCCATGCAGGCTGCTTCTTCAGGGCACTTTACTCCCAGTGTCAGTTAAGCACACGAGCTCCAAGTTCAAATCCCAGTTCTGCTACTCAGTGTTATGAGCAGGTTACTTCGCCTCTCTGCACTCAAGTTTCTTCATCTACAAAATAGGGAATAATATTAACTTCTAGTCCCTAGATTTGGGAGGATAATTAAATGTGGCGATCCATGTCTGATGTCCAGCTACTATGACTCGTAATGCTCGTATTTCTGCAGAGAAGATACACTCTCTATCCTCAGTAGGCTCCATGGGGGCAGTGTCCCAGCCAATTCTTTTGCACAGTTAATTTCCACTTGCCAATTCCTCTCCTCTCTCCCTCCAACTTGATTCCTCTCTTTCCTCACCTTCTGATTTTGCTATTCAAGGCAACTGGCAAATCTCCCAGTGACAGAATCAAGGCCACCTATCCCCAGTCTTCAGAAATACAGTTATAATTTTTCTTGTAAAACTTACTCTTGCAGTGGTCAATATCAGTCCTTAGTCTTTTATAATTCATCAGCTCTGATCCATCGTGGACTTTCAGTTATTTTTTGTAGGTGGTTGTTGTTGGTGCTTTTTCATTAAGCCTGCAAATATCTGTTTAAGTGAAGATTCTGGACAGGGCCTTCCAAATACAAGACAAATAAAACACCAAACAGCTTACAATCCAGTAGGATAGAAAGAATCTGACAGCAAGTAAGAGCAATGAGGTGAGGTGTTCTGGGCACAGTGACCTGCCTCTGTACTTTGCAAATGTAGGTCACCTGTGAGATAATCTGAGCGGTCTCTCTTGAGTTGAGTCTTGGAAGACAATTAGTTGTTCATGAGCTAACACAGGTGGGCAGAGGTGTTTCCAAGCAGAGGGATTGTTTTGTAAAAGCTGGAGGCCATAGAAGGACTGTAAGGAGTTTAGGATGGCGGGAGCAATGTTTGCTGATGTGAAAGAAGAGAGCAACAAGTGGGGACAGACTCCAAAGGATGTCTTCAGTGCCTTTGATGGGGCTCCCATGGAATCACTAAGGTCTATGCCCTGGTTCCCCAGCAGCTCCAGAGACAGCACGCCCCCGGTTCAGCTCAGCGAGGCGTGGTGGGTGCCCTTCTGAGCGCCCTACCTGTCCCGTGACAATAGATGCACGACCAGGTAAAGTCCGCTTTTGTTCTCTCTTGACCCTTGTGTTTTTTCACATGTCATCTGTAGCTTCATTCCAACCTACATTTCAAAGTAAGGAGCAGGCCTTTGTTTAAATACATTTAGTCTACCCTTTTGCAACAATATTGTGGCAAATGAGAGGTTCAAGTATGAAGACATTCTTTAATTATTATTAGCTGACAGAAGCTAACGGATTCCATAATTGCACTGAATAAGGTTTATCATTTGCAAAAGCTCCCAACCCCAGGAGAAGGTGCAAAGAAGTGCAATTTTAAAAATTTGTTTTCTTTGTGATTTACATTCAGCCTACTTTCCAAAAAAAAAGAATGGATATAACAGTAGTCCAGATGCAGTACCCTGTGAAATAAAGGGACCATCACCCCTACACATAAACATATTGTCTTCTAGGGTTTTAGATGTCATCTAAGAAAACCACATTCTACACCTGCTCCCAGGGAGGGAGGCATCAGCAGCTGGCCAGGACCCTGTGAGCCTTGAGCGAGGATGGTTTCTGAACAGGACGCCGTGGAGAGCTGTGATTGTGCTGGGTGTCTGGCCAGGGACCAAGCTGGAAAGCAAACGTGAGCAAAACCTAAGTTTCCTTCTCAGTTGTCTGTGTCTGGTGACCCCTGCGTCTATGAAGCTGAATCTGAAGCCAGACAGACTCTGACACCCTCCAGAGCAAAGATCAAGTTCAAGTCTGTAAACAAACTTGAGAACTGATTTCGTGTTTTCTCTGAAAAGCACGGAGGGTGAGAACCTGTCCTAGTGATACTTTCAGGAATTTACTGTGGAGCAAACCGTGTGTTTTGGTTTTTTTTACCCTCACACGAGAATATTTTTTCCATTGCTTTTTCAGAGAGAGTTCAAGAGAAAGAGAGAGAGAGAGGGAGAGAGAGAAGGAGGGAGAGAGAAACATCAATGTGAGAGAGACACATCGATTGGCTGCCTCCGCCCATGCTCTGACCGGGGCCGAGCCTGCAACCGAGGCACATGCCCTTGGCCGGAATTGAACCCAGGACCCTTCAGTTCGTGGGCCAACGCTCTAACCACTGAGCAAACCGGCCAGCACAAACCCTTACTCAGAGACTTACTCAGTGGTCAGAAGTGGAAGCTCAGTGTTTGTCTAGGAGGGGGCTTAAGAGGATCCTTTGTTTGTACACTTTCAGCCAGGGGACAGGCCGGAGATCAAACCTAAATATTTTTTTCAACTAATTTTTCTCTGTTTCTGTGTAATTAACTTGTATTTTGTTTCTTTGTGTGTGTTTTCATTCATTCGATGTCAAGGATAAAATAGTTCGTTCCCAGGGCAGGTACAGAGGAGAGAAGGTTGTTGCAGGAGAGGCTTGCTGATGACTGCTCTCTAAGATTTCCAAATCAAAATAACTTGATTGCGGGAAGAGGCTCTGTGGCTTCTTTCAGCCGGAGAGCACGCTGAGGTCAAACACACGTGCACCTTGCTAGTCCTTAGAGGGGGTGTAATTTGGGGATTTTCATGTTTGGGATATGAGTTGAGATCAATTCTGAAAAGAATGGGATTCTTCTGAAAATCAGATAAGGGACTGGAAATCAGTTCCTCTCATGGAAAAGCAGAGCTGGTTGGTTGACATGGCATATAAATTGTGGGATTTTCTGGTTCTGTCAGTATAATGAGATTAACAGCAAAAAGAGGTTTTTGTTGAAGGGATGATAACTATGCTAATACTGTGGATCACCTTTGGCCCAGGGACACGTCTAGAAATAAAACGTAAGTAATTTTTGTTTATTGCCTTCTGAAATTTGGTCTAAATGCCAGTATTGACTTTTAGAGACTTAAGTGTGAGTTTTGTGGAACTGAGTAAATGAGGGCATTTAGGTGTTTCTGGTGCTCCAAAAACAGATTTGCAGATAAAAAGATTAATTTAATCTAAATCAAATTACTCAGAGTGGGAATAAAAATCATGTAGATGAAAAGGAAATCCTTGCAATTTTAAAGAGCAAAAGTGAACTCATTTTTATTGAGCTTTGCTAAATATTGTATCAATTTTTGGTCTTTATGCATAACACAGAAATGTAGAGAGATGTATTTCTTAGTTGGTTTTCTCTCTTCTCTCTATTTGATAAGCTAACAATAAAAATCAATAGGGCACACTGGTAACCAGTGGGAAGTTAGGGAAGATGTCTGTCTGCCATGTACAAGATGCAGCTGAGAATCAGCAGCCACATCATCTTCAGTCTAAATGAGTGACAAACTCAACATTCAGAAAGTCTATGGAGATTCTGTATCTTCACAGATATCACCTTTTTAAAATCTAATTTATGGACTAAATTAAACTGGAAATGATCTTTTATCATAAGGATAGAATGATGGTTGTCCCCAAAAGCTCAGTTTTGAAGAGATACTTTTCAATGAAATCATTATATTTTTAAACGTCCATGGATTTGTAGAAAAATAGTAAATATTTTAATGAAAATGTTCTTTCATTTACCTCAATTATTACTTGGAATGTTTTTATACCGCAAAAGAGGCAGTGGCACAGCTAATGTGGCCTGTAGATCTCATGGCGGTCTTCTTTAGTGATTGAGTGACTTTCGTGGCCCAGCCACAGCGCTCAGTGGCAGTGAGCCTGGCCCTAAAGGCTGAAGCAAGTCTGCACGGGCCTCTTGAGCTCTGCCACAGCTGCTTCCCTGGCACAGTGATACGAGTAATGCCACTAACAAAAGAGAATAGAAACATGGTGGGCACTGAGCTAACAAGGGAAAAGCAGGGAGAAGCCTGATTTATTAGAGATTTTTAGAAATAATTCACATTCATTATTATATCCTCAATGAAAATTTTCATTAGGGGACTATAGAGAACTTAAAGCTATTTTTTTCAGTGATATGTAATTATTTTGATATCTGCTTATTAAAGAATACATTTGATCTATTATTTGGAATCAGAAAGTTCAGTCCCAAGAAAAGAAATATATGTAGCTTACTGGGTAAAATTCCCACCAGAAAAAATATAACTTAAAAATAATATTTTAACTTAAGGCTGTCTTGCCTTTCAGAGATTGAACAGTTAACTTTTACTGAGTTCACATTAAGTAACATTAAGGTATAGTAACTGATTAAAAATAACGTAAATTTGTGACACGTTTTATTTTTCAAAAATTTAATAGCTTGGGTAAGATTGTACTTCAGTTGTTAAAATATCTAAGCATATATAAATGTCACTAATAAAAAATATAAACATATTTTTTGATACCTTTATTCTGTGATAGAGAATTTTTATCTGAGTATTTTAATTCCATACCCTCTAAAGTAGTTCAGTAGTTTGTTGTGTTACTTCAGCTGATTTCAATAGTGATATTTAGGACACTATTCTTGGTCTGCAGCAACTTAACAGGACTATTTCAGGGCTGTTTTAAAACTTTTAAAACAAAACTATTTAAAACTATTTTAGTATTTTAAACTATTTTATGGCCTTTGAAAAATTATTTTACTGAATTTTAAATACCATTTAAAGCTAATATGATGTCTTACAAGAACTTCCATATCAAATATGCTAATTATTTAATATTTTAATGCAGGATGAAAAGTTAAATCTATCAAGGGTTCACCCAGATAGGAGTATCTTCACATCCTATTTCCCCTCCTTTCTTTCTAGAATTAACATTATTTTGCTTCCAAGGTTATTTTATAAATTCTCTTAAATACTAGTAATGAAGTTTAAAAGAGAAGAAAATATCAAAACAGAAAAAGCTCAGTATGTTGTATTGAACTGCTTGGCTAACATGGGGGTTAGCTTTGTAAAGAACCCGTTCACGTCTCTGACTCTCCCAGCGAAGCTTCCTTGATTTGCCCTCCCGCAGGGGGGCGTCCAGGAGGCCACCTGGCAGCTGCTCGCAGCCAGAGCGAAGCTACCCAGTTCCTCCTCGGCAGGTGGCCCAAGTGACAGTTGACCCTTTCTGGCCTGGCCAAACACTGACTGCACATATGGCGACAGGCTTCAGGCCAGGGCCCGGGCCTCCCTCTGGGACTTTCGTGAGGGGTGTGGAAGCCGCTGGCTGAGCACAGAGGGTGAAGGGCGGACCCCACCCAGGCGCACACATCTTGAGCCCACACATCCTGGTCCCAGCACACCGAGGGGAGCCCAGGAGGGGAAAGTCTGCCCTCACTGCATCCTGGGAGGGCACAGAGGAAATGACCAGGGGCCAAAACCCGGCCTCAGTTCTAAGTTCCAAGGGGTCAGGTGACGTGGCCTTGCTTCTGGCCTGAAGCCCCGAGTTACTGCAGGAGGCTGAGGGCACAGCTGAATGAAAGAGACGTGAGGTCAGAAAAGTGCACAAAAGTGTTTTTAAAATGGCTGCAGGGCTCACATGCGACTTCGTAAGGGCAGGACTCAGGGCCGTGGCGGTTTAGGTGCGCCCCCTGGCCTCGTCGCTGCCGTCTGTCCCTCATCCTGCTGTCCGCCATGCCACGTCTGCCTGTCCAGCCGCCCCTCTGGGCTCTGGGGTCGCCCAGCAACCATGCGGCCGCGTGGGGACCCTCCTTGCTGCTGGAACAGCGCTCTGTGCTTCCTTCCTAGGCGCCGTGGCTAAGCCGTCCGTCTCCATCTTCCCCCCGTCGGCGCAGCAGCTAAGCGGCGGAAACGCCTCGGTCGTGTGCTTGCTGAGCCGCTTCTACCCCAGGGAAGTCAGCGTCAGGTGGAAAGTAGACGGTGTCGTCCAAACCCAGGGCATCCAGAGCAGTGCCTCGGAGCAGGACAGCAGGGACAGAACCTACAGCCTCAGCAGCACCTTGACGCTGCCCAGCTCCGAGTACAGAAGCCATGCCGTCTACGCCTGCGAGGTCTCCCACCAGGGCCTGGGGGCTGCCTTTGTCAAGAGCTTCAACAGGGAGGAGTGTTAGAGAGCGGGGCCTGCGGGCCCAGCCCTCCCTCGCCCCTCCTGGGCCCTTTCTCCCCCTGCGGCGGTGCCCTAGCCCCTCTTCCCCCTCCCCGCTCCCCCTCTTGGGCTTTAATCATGCTGTGGGGGGGGAAATGAATAAAGTAAATCTGCACTAGTGATTTCTCTCCTCTTCCTAATTTAATGATTGGTATACATTGTTTTTCCAATTACCCAGTTTATCTTCCAAGGAACTAAATATTGAGTTGCTAAAAACTACACCATCATTTGCAAAGCTCACCATCTACCCCGACCCTACTGTTCTCTACGAGACTCTCCTCCTCGAAACCCAAAGCCCGTCTTCACCCCCCCAGGCCATGGTGTGAGAGGCCTGCTTCCTTGTTCTTCCCCCTCAGGGTCCCTTAAAGAGCGACAGTTCTAACCACATATCCTTCGATCCAGGTGAACCTACCCCGAGAATTCACCAAAAGTAAATTTTTCAGAAGGAAACAGCTATAAAGAGAGTCATTCATTGCAACACTATATAAAATAATAAAATAATAAAAACGACCTAGATGAAGAAGCAATAGGGAAATGTTTAAGTCCATTACAGCACTTCAACCTAACGCAGTATTATGGCTTCGTTACACTTTTAAACGTGTATCCAGGGCCTCCGACCTGCCAAAGGTGATACTGAGCACCTCTCCCACCCTGACTGAATGATCGCTGCGCTGCCAGGCCACACATGTTCATTGAGATGCTGGGCAGGCCGGAGCACGGTTGCTGTTCATATTCTGTACCCAGCAACCCCGCTCCTGGAGGACTGTGGCCTGTCGTCAAAACACTTAGGCCTCCTTTATAAAAAACAAAAAACTGGAAATAATCCAAATGTCCACCAGCGTAAGATGAGCCGTCGAGCTGTCTCCTGCCTGCACCGTGGAACCCTGTCCAAGGAGGAGAGTTAGAGTCTCACAAACGTGCCAATGAGCAAAAGAAGCCAAACACAAAGATACATTCTGTGGATTTTAATCTATGTAAAGTTCAAATCCCAGAAAACATAAAAGCAGAGCCTTGGGTAGGGCTTGCTCAGGGCTGGGGGTGGGGCGGCCGAGCCTGGGAAGAGTAGGGGGCCTTCTGGGCTTTGGCAGTGTCAAGTGTCCTGCTCTGTGACCTTGACGGAGCTGTGCAGTTAGGGTTAGGGTTCGAGCGACCGGATACCTCCGGAGGTGAAAGGCAAAGCCGAGGAGGTGCTCTCAGTTGTGAAGAATGGTCCGGGTTTGCTCGCAGGCCTTGTGCTCGGCATGGCATCCTCGGGGGACGCCTTCACTTCCGTTATTCCGGGGTGTCCCGACCAGCAGCCTCGCCACTCCATCGAGCGACAGGAGCCTCCCCCGTCCCCCCTGCTCTGCTGTGCTG